TTTATCATCATTGTTATTCCGGTAAAATTATTTATAGAACTAATTATTCGTGTGGATTACGTCCGAGAAAAATTAACAGTTTTACCCGCAACAAAAATGTCGAGGTAAAATGTTGCGGCGAAGGTTCTGAGAATTTGTTAATGCGCAGAGATAAGCTCGTGATTAAAAATGGAGGGAAAAGAAGCGTCGGTTTAAGCCGGATATTTTAAGAAGTAAAATTTAGTAATTTATGAGAATAAATTCAGGAGTTTTATTGTTGTAAGCTAATGACTGATAAGTTTTATGAGAATCTAAAGTTGACATTTTTCGGAGTAAATTTTGTAATCCGGAAATAAATTAGAAAAGTAGAGTCGGTGTGTGTGTGAGACGTGTGGGGTATGTGTGTCTGAGTGCCACCAGGGTTCCTTCGCAGTCGTGCAGTCCGTTGCGAGGTGTTTCGCTGGCGTAGAAGCCGTTGTATAGACGCCAAATGGGGTACAGCGGTAGTAAGGTACAAACTGCAGTATAGTCGCTCCATAAGAGGGTACTGTGGGATTAAGCATTTTGATAGAAGCCGTTGTATAGACGCCAAGTGGGGTACAGCGGTAGTAAGTTAGGTGTTAGAGAGCTGCAGAGGCTTCTTGGCTTATGTTGCAGTCACTAGGCTGTTGCTTCTGTAGCAAGGCGTTATTGATAAGCCCTCGTGCACTGCAGTCTTTGTACGAGGTGTCTTATTGATAAGTAGATATAAGTTGTAGTAGCGACTTCCCGGTGGGAAGCGTGAAGTAAGAAAAACCTTAGTTATAAGTGAGTAGTGTGTGTGAGTGAGGAGTACATACAAGTGTACAAGTTGTTAAATTTTTATCGTTAAATAAATTTGTATCCGTTGTTAAATAAGAATATATTTATTTCCAGTAAACCTTTCTCTCTCTCTCTCCCTGTAAATTAAGAAAGCTCAGCTCTGGCATCCGGTTCCAGGAACCGAGATAATAATCCTGGTGGCGCCCTATTTGTCGTTAGAGTCATTTTTGTCATTATATTGTTTATTTAAAAATAATCAGGGCTAATAAGTACGGGAAATAAACCACCCGTTACAAGTTTTTGCGTGATTGACGGTCTACGAAACCCACTTTCATTTTAAACCTCATAACTTTTGAATGGTTGAACCGATTTCATCGCGGTTGGAGCCATTCGAAAGGGCTTCGCCAAACTTAGATTTCCTGTTAATTTGAACCGATTCGGACCGATAGATTTTGAGAAATTTGGAGAAATCTCAAACAAAATAGGAAAAAAAAATTTTTTCAGAAGTGGTTTTTTTGGAATAACTTTTAAACGGCTCAACCGATCGATTCCAAAAACTAATCAGCTCTCAACCTTAAAAAACCACGTCGATCGCCGCCAATCCGGTCAAAATCGGTTGATTCGTTCGAGAGATAGCGTGAACGAAAGAAAACCGAAAAAAGTGTTTTTTCGGAGTTACTCCGAAATTTCTAGTTTGACCAATTGAAACTTAGAAATTCTTTGATGAGGCTTTAAATGAGGCTTAAAAAACTGCGTAGAATGCCGTCAACCACGTAAAAATCGGTTCATTTATTCAAAAGTTATTGCGATTTAAAAACCCAAAAAATAATGTTCTATGAAACTTCTATCAGATTTTTAAGCTCAAAGAGCGCAAAAGCACAGAAAAGGTATCTTTTTGAGCTCAGAGAGCTCAAAATAACAAACAGATTGTATTTTTGAGCTCGAAGAGCTCAAAAAAAAACGGCCATGTATTAACGGAATTAGCGGGAAGTTGCAGAGATGGCCTTTAGGGTCAACCGTTTTCCTAATTTTTTTGACAAAAGAATATCAATATCTGCCTTCATGATATAATAAAATATTTGTCTTTATTTTAAAAGGTAAACAAACAAAATGCCTGGCTTAAATTAAGTAAAAAATATTTTGATCAATCCAAACAAGAAAATATACTCTCAATAATGATCAAGAATGTATATTCTTGTGTCAAAAAAATTTTTTTAATAGTCATTGCATTTTTTTCTCGGTATTTGGGAATCTGAGCATTTGAGGAAACACAGTTTTTTGTTTAAAAAAAATGCACTATGCATAAATAATATTAAGACTTAATAAATTTTATTTCAAAAATTTGGCACAAAATTTTGAGAATATTGATAAAAAATAAACTTTATTCAAGAGAAAAAAATTTTGATCTCATAATATTATTTTAAAGAGTTCAATCATCTTAAATCAAGCAGAAAAATTTTTAGATCAAGTAAAATTTACTCAAACCAAGAACAAATTCTTAGTTTATTTGAAATTTTGGACTTCCCGCTATCAAAATCATTCATTTTCATAAATTGGAAGTTAATGGTTTCACTCTGATTTTCGAAAAAAAAATTGTTAAAATCATTTTTTTTCAAAATAACTTTTGAGCTGCTTAATCGATCAATTTTATAATCTAATCAGCTCTCAACCGAAAAAAGATATCAAATTCCGTTTGAAAAATTAAAATCGATTCATTTGTTCGTGAGATATCGTTGACGAAAAATTTTGAAAAATATAATTTCAATGTTTCTCAACCAATCAATTTTGTACTCAATACAATATTTTTAGAACTTAAAAAACTGCGTCGAATGCTGAGAACTGCGTTGAGATCGGTGAATTCGATCAAGAGATATTGTTTTCAAAAAATTTTTAAAAAGTGATTTTTTCATATAACTCCGGAATTTCTTGTCAGATAGCTTTTTGAGTGATAAGTAACTAATTATCAGTGTTAAAAAAAACAGCATTGGATACCGCCAATCACATCAAAATCATTCAATTCGAAGAACTCGAAAAGCTTAAACCTTGTCATTAGGAATTTTATAATCGTTTTACATAAGATGGTACAAAGCGGAAAGTTTCAGGGATGGCCGGTAGGGTCAACCGTTATTAAAATTTTTTTAAATAAAACTTCTAAATTTCAAGTCGAATCGATTTTCATTACTGAGAATGTTTTTTCATATTTCTGAAACTAAGGTAAAGTACCCAGTATTTGAACAGTTTTCAAAGTAAAACGTATTTGACCCTACTTTTAATACATAACAATGTAATTATTAGTTCAAATAAATGATTTTCATGAAAATATAAACAATTTTGAATTGATTGAAGTGCAAAATAACGCATACAATTGAATATTTATACTTATTTTTACAACGTTTTTAAGATAGACTATGAAAGGAGTAGTAGTTGAACAATCAATTTTGACAAGCTGCAGTAGTTGAACACTACGGAAGCAGTAGTTGAACTAATAAAATTTATGGCAATAGGCATACTAAAAATTTTCAACGTTTTATTGAAATATCCAAAGATTTATAACATATTATTGAATAATATTAAGAATAATACTGTGAATATTTAATATATTCATTTAAAAATGAGAAATATTTGAACTTAATTTTTTAATTACATTTTTTATGAATGACAAAGCAAATTTTCAATTATAAATAGAAAAAAATCAATTTAAAACGTTCAATAATATTTAACTACACTAATTTTTAGTTATAAAACTTGTTTAATTTGCAGTAATTAATACAAATCACAATACTGATCACTAGTCTATAAATCTATTAGAGGTTAGAGTGCTGTTAAAATTATACGGCCTCATCAGCTTGTTCAAGTTCTGGGTACCGCTTTGAAAATTGGGAGGTATAGTTAGACGCTAAAATTTAATATAAAAATTATAGTTTATGTGTTTGCAAGAAATATATGTTATTTAGAATAGACTATTTCATTAGAGGGTACAATTTTTTTTACTTATAATGATGATATACCGTTCTTTTTTATTGATTGTTCGGTTTACGATTTAGTACTTTTTTCATGAAAAAAATAGCATCTATCGGCGATTCTCGACATGTCAACTTTTAAGTTAATAAAAATGTAATTGTTTTGATTTATAATTGAAAAAACTTACAGAAATCAATTACTGTATCATTTAATAATTATAATATGCGCATATTACTCATAATAAATTTACGGATTTTGTATTATAACAATTCGAAAAGTCTGTTTAAGTACTGGTTCCATTTTTATAAGTGTTCAAGTACTGGATACTTTACCTTATGTTGATTACCGCATACCAAATCAGAATCATTCGATTCGTTCGGGAAAGAACGCAATTTAAATTTCTTAAAAAATTTTACCAATGTAATTACTACAGTTCTGAGCTCGAAGAATAAAAAAAAGTTTGGAAATTCCAAAAGTGCACGCCTCATAATTTCATGTCCCACAATAAAATAGTTTAAAAGTTTAAAATAAAATACAAAAAACAAAATAATATTAAACAGAAAACTCTGCTATGGTTTGGTGGCGCCATAATTCTAACGTGAGGAAAAAAATACTATAGTAAAATGTATTTATAGATATACAAATACACAGTCGTATATTAGCTTTTCATAAATAATAATTAAATGACAGTGAATTGAACGCTAATATTAATGGAGAAAGTCTGCAGTGTATTACTTTAGATGATAAAAAAATATTATTCCGATACGATAATTTTTTCGATCAATTTCCCTGCCACATACACAGTTCTTCACATACACAGTTCTTCATACGTCCAGGAAAGATTATTTTTAATGTTATTATTTACTATGTTAAAAAAAATAATTGTTATTGAAATATATTTTATGTGCCTGACAGATTATTTGATTTGATATAAGTGCACTAATATTATCCTGTAAGTGCGATATCCTGTAAATAAAAAAAAATCAATTTCAGTTTCGAGAAACTGCTTTTTTTGACATGTCGAGAGTAAAGCTATCTCAATGCTTTGCTTATGAGACGTGAAATATCAAGTAATTTGAGATTTCGTATCCTTTCCATAGGAACTTAAAATATATGTTCCTTCATTTCTTAAATTAAAGTAAAAAGTTAACACATTTTAAATTCAGCAAATAAAGTTATATTTTTCGGTTTATTGTAAAATCATTTTTTAACTGAATGCACATTATTTGGTGGATAATAACTCAGTTATCAATAATAAATCAGTTATCTTGAGTTTCAGGTTCAGGATCATACGTTATCATAACTTTTTCCATGATTTCCCATAGTTTTTCTCTAGTAAGATCTTTGCAAAATACCTAAAATTTAATTTTTTCAATTAATTTTTAATTTACCTCATTTATAGATAAACTAGACAATACTCACATTAAACCACGGAAGTTGATCACATTCATCCATCAACGGTACTACTACTCCATAAATTTGTAGCGTCAAATTAATACACGCTAAGGCAATGCAATTTGGGGGGTAATCCAAAACTGCAGGTGAATGATGAAAATCTTGTAATAATGCTAAGCTTGTTTTTGCCACAGGATATTTGGACCATTCATCTTCTCCAAACCATGCTTGAAAGGACCGCAAATAATGAAGGAGATACTATACAAAATGAAAATTAAAAAATTTTTCATTAATAAATCATTCAAAGAATTTTGAATGTTAGAAAATATCAAGTATTTATACTGTATGCTGCAGTTGGAATATCGACTTAACATTTGAAGCTTCCTTTTCGATCTCTATAGAGATTGTTCAAGATTTTTTTTATTTTCAAAATAATATATACTAGAGATATCTTTGAGTGACTTGTAAACATGAATATTAAAAAAAAATTCAATTTCTTTGTTTTAAGGTGATATATTAAATAACGAGAATTTTTTTATAGCTTAAAAATTTTTATCAAATTATTATATTTAACTCAAAGAATTACTTTAAATTCATGTTATTCAAAAATACTGAAGAACATCAATTTGAAAATTGGGGAAATCATCAGCAAGTAAAAATCAAAATATCAGCTATAATAAATTTACTAAATTTATTAGCAATTAATTATCAATTTATTAATTCAATATATTATTAAGAGTTCACGGTTTATTATTTCGTGGTGAAAAAATTCATTAGTATTAACCAATAAGTAGTTAAGAACTCATTAAAATATACTCGATCAATAATAATATAAGATTATTCAGAGTTGTTTTTCAGTGACCGATTGTATATAATTAATTTTTTTGATCAGCCTAAGGTCACAAATGACTAGTGTATCTAATTCAAGCCAATAGATGGACATCCCATCATCCCTTCTATTCGAGAGTTTTATTCCCTCATCCCGTCAGTTCGATGGAAATCCATCAAACTTAAATTCTAGTAAAGCTGGAAGTTATGTTGTATCTGTTCGAGTTATGAAGATGTTACTTAAGTGAAAGAAAATTTGAATGAGAGCAAAGACAGACTTTGAAAAAATAAATGGGGTTGGTTGCCAAGCCAGGAATCGAACCTGGATCTCCCTGATAACATGTCAGGAGCTCTACCAGTTAAGCTACCGGGCCCCTTCTACCATCACCTCTTCTCAGTCCATTCTTATACTCTCAGTACCTACTCACATTACCCTCTCTCCCCTACCCAAACTACGTACTACGATGGTAATGTAGTAATTATTGCGGTATTAGTAAATTATTCAGAGTGGCTTGCCAACCAACCCCATTTATTTTTTCAAAGTCTGTCTTTGCTCTCATTCAAATTTTCTTTCACTTTCTTTCACTCAAGTAACATCTTCATAACTCGAACAGATACAACATAACTTCCAGCTCTACTAGAATTTAAGTTTGATGGATTTTCATCGAACTGACGGGATGAGGGAATAAAACTCTCGAATAGAAGGGATGATGGGATGTCCATCTATTGGCTTGAATTAGATACACTAGTCATTTGTGACCTTAGGCTGATCAAAAAAATTAAATATAAGATTATGTTTATTTCCTAATAATAAATTAATTTAAAAGGATTCAGCACGTTCACATAAATGAAACCTGAGCTATGTTACTTTTACGTATAATTTGAGAATATATATGAACTGTTTCAATGTGTACAAAATTATAGTATATTACACACCTAGGGAAGTAAAGTAAGAAATGTCTCAGATCACATGTAATGACGAGGCGAAGCCGAGGTCAACAAACATGTGATCTGAGGCTTTCTTATTTACTTCCCGAGGAGTGTATGCTATTTTTTTGCTCGACGAAGGCAGGAAGCGGCAATTTCGTTTAACGCAGCGGGCCGAAAGTTGACGCTTTCTGGCCGTCGAGCAAAAAAAAATTTTGAATTAGGAAAACTTAATATGACAATTATAAGCAAACGTTAATATTATAAAGTTTACCTTGTGTGGATGAGTAAATACTACTTGAAATTTTAATGTTCTTATAATTAAGAGTTCAGCTTGAATTATTGCATCACGTAAACTCCAATATTGATCGCCAAGTTCTAAAGGTGGAGATCCTCTGTGAAGAGTGTTTGATGTAACGTTCATGACATCCCGTATTTTTAATGCATCATCTTTTATTTTTCCAGCAAGGTACAAACATGTTGCCGCAATCAACTAAAATATAATATTTCGTAATATTTTGTTGTACATTGAATAACGAATACTTTTATCATAGTTACAGATATTTCTAAGCAGTTGAAGAAATCTACATTAATTATAATTTATGATTTATTTATTACAATATAACATTAATTTCAATTTTTTAACAACGGGTAGTATTTTTGAAAAAGTGATTGAGAATGGAAAACTTTAATTATGAATAAAATAACAAAATATGGATTTAATACAGGAAAAATCAGAAAAACGTTAAATCTGTCGAAAATCTGTGAGGCTTCCTGCGATTATCGAAGTATTCAAAAATATCCCTTCTTGAGCTTTAGAAACTCAAAAATTTTATTTTCATAACTATTGGGCTATGAAGGTCTAGAAAATATCAAGAACATAAGAAATATGCATGTTTTTAGAATTGATTTTCATGTCTATTTCATTTATGTTTCAATTCAAAGTTATAAGTTTTAAATAAGGTGTTATTATAATTTATTTTGACAACGATGTCTTTGAAAGACGAAATATTTCCATATTTATCTTTACCAGATGAAATAAAAAAATTTTCTTACAGGGAATAGATAAAAAAAAGCGCCATTCGGCCATACCCAACATGGATAGGTAGATTTCTCGTTTGAATATTAAAAAAAAACACGTTATTAAAAAGCAATAATGTTCTAAAATGTATTTTTTAGTAGATTTTATAAAAATCTAACTATTGCAGCCGTCCTCATGGCGCAACTTTGAAAAAATTTAGCCATTTTATATATATATATATATATATATATATATATATATATATATATATATATAT